TAGGGGAAAACAAATATTCACTATGTTTATCAGCATAAACTTAAGCTTAACTACACAACATAAACACAAATGATTGAACTAAAAGTAGGAGGGATCAATATGGATTGCATGATCAGTTTTATCTATTTGACATTTCCAAAAGAGCAACAACAGGAAAAAAAAAACTGCCTTTTTTTTCCTTTTGCTATTGTGTATTTTCAGTATTCTCAACCATTTTATAAAGTACAAGTAAGGGAAAAATCAAAGGATAGACGTAGGGCTGCACATTCTTATTTAAGATTTAAGTATAAAAATACCACATAAGCAGTGGCCCCTTCGGACAGTTTCAGTGCTTTTTCCTACATATTTTTTTTTCTATAGATAACATCCAGGGCTGAAGGACTTACTCATCCCCTATTAGGGGATGAACTGTAACCCTTTCAAAATTTATATGTTGAAGTCCTAATGTCCAGTATCTCAGAATGCAACATATGTAGACAGGCTCTTTAAAGAAACAATTAAATTTAAATAAGGTCATTAGGGTAGGCCCTAATGCAACAGACTGGTATTCTTATAAAATGAGAAGATTAGCAGACATACACATTGGGAGAGATCACACAAACACTGGGAGAAGATCACTATCTACAAAAGACCTCAGATGCCTTCATCTTGGACTTCTAGCCTCCAGAAATGTGAGAAAATACACTTCTGTTGTTTAAGCCACTCAAGTCTGTGGTATTTTATTACAGCAACCCTAGGAACTTAATATAGCAACTAAAAAAGTATGCATAGATATTTATTTAAGGAATGAATGTTGTATTTTTTTCGGCACTTAATTCTGCTCAAAGCTGAGGCTGGTGGCTGACTTTCCACCAGTAAGGCTGAGGAAACATTTTTAATGAAATAAAACATGTTGAGAGCCACAACCAAGTCAAGATGGCGCCTGGCATTTTGCCAGAAGGAGTGGTTGAGAAGTAACAGCATCGATCCATTAAGATGATGATAATTAAGTTAAGCTGTGTATAATTATTAAGATAATGACTGACTGCTGTAACTGGATGATGCTAAATCGAAACAAGCTGTGTATTCAGTTGTGTATATAAATAAACCTCTGCTGTCCGGCAATAAGGCAGCTCCTGCTACCTCGGGTGCCCACTACTTTTGAGTTCCTGTTGAGTTCTCGAGGATATTGTGTCCATCTACAGCTAAAAAAATATTTTAAAAAATATAGTATCAGTATTATAATTGAAAGACTCTGTTCCGATTGCCAGTTGTCACCCTCTTGCTCCCACTTTAGACACAACCACTAATTTGAATTTGGTTATAATTTGCATGCAGCATTTCTTTGTACATTTTTCTACAGGCCTGTAGTCCTAATCAATATGCTACTGTTTTTTGCTTGCTTCCCAATGTTATGTAAATAATACCATATTCTACAAAGACTGTGTATGCTGCCTTTATCCCCCTACCATTTTTTTGATATTCGACCACAAGGATGCCCTTAACTCTGGTTCATTTAAAACCACTGAATATAGTATTTTATTATGAAACTACTATTTATTATAAATAGGATTTATTTATTCATTCTTCTATTGATGGACATTTATTTTCAATTTAGGTTACTTTCAACTTTTTTACTATTATCAGAAATACCGGTAAGGACATTTTTGTACATGTCTTATAAACATGTAAGAAATTCTATAACCCCAGCAATTTGGGAGGCTGAGACAGGAGGGGGTTTGCAAGTTCAAGGCCAGCCTGGTAATGCAAAGGTCTTATTTAAAGGAATTTCAGTTACCTGGCTCTTTCAAAATATTGATGGTGTTTCTATGGATAGGAATGGTTCTTGCTGTGGGCTTGTTCCCACACAGAAATCCAGCTTCTTTGGTAATCTCAAAATCTCAAAAATAAATAAATAAGCAAGCAAGCCTGATGCAGTGGTGCACTCCTGTAATCCCAAAAGCTTGGGAGGCTGAGTCAGGAGGATTTCAAGTTCAAAGCCAGTCTCAGCAAAAGCAAAGTGCTAAGCAAATCAGCAAGACCCTGTCTCTAAATAAAATACAAAATAGGGCTGAGAATTTGGCTCAGTGGTTGAGTGCCCCTGAATTCAACTCCCAGTACCAGGGGAGAAAAAAAAAAAAACACTCACAAACGAATTTATTTGCAATCAAAACTATGAATTCAGGATCATTACTTTAAAAGAATCCTGCACGGATTCCACAGATGGTTGACCGTCATGCTATACAAACTCAGCTAAGCAATACAACCACTCACTAGGACTATTATCAATTAACTTACCCAGAGAGCTGGAGTTATTGATTGTGCAGAAAGAACTCTTTATGCAAATAATTTTTACTTAATGATTGGAAGGTATTAATACTTTCACTGAGCCAACTGGGATGAAAATTTTTACAAATTATTTGATTCTAAACCTTTAAAATCAGTTGAAGCACATTTTTTCCCAACTTTTGCCTTCATAAAAATTGCATGCTTTACAAATTATGATGGAGTGGGCCAAATCTTCCCATGCATATTTCTATTATTGTATAGTAACACAAAATAAGATTATTATGGAAACCACATTTAGAAGTTATAGCTTACAAATTCTGAAATCAATTCTATTTTTAAACTTCCTTGTTAACAGGTATATTAAAGAAAGAAATGAGTTAAGAAAGCATACTAATCTTTTTATTTCCAATAACTAAAGCTAATATATGTCTGTGTGTATGTGTATGTAAAAAGAGCAAGCATTTACCATGTGCCAAGCTCTGTACATTTTTGGCACATCATTTCATTTAATTCTCACAATTTCTTGTGGTAGATTATGTTATCACCATTTATCAGAGGCAAGCAAGGTTTTCCTAATATTTTTTCAATTGCTATCAAATAGGAAAGCTAGGTAACTGCAGTCTCACTGAATTTTATCTTTATTTCCCTCCTCGTCAGGACTTGAGGGAGAAGTGTTTATACAATTCAGAATAACCCAGAGTTTGCCATATCTTTATTGTAATTATACTGAACCTTATTTACATATTGTTTTATATTGAGTTTTAATGGGGGAAAACATGATTTTGATTAAAACCTCTAAATATACATTTTGGAAGAAGCTGAGGTGCATATAATTATCATTAACTAATTTACATACATACATACAAGTTTAAATAAAATGCACAAATGTAAAGATCCCATTTTTAAACTTCTTGTTGTCTACCCTTAAAGCATTGATTTCTTGGACCCAGTGAAAATAAACGTCTCAAGCAAGTGCATTTGAAGCTTTTGTAGCATAATCATTCATATTTGAAAGACATTATTTATTTTCCAAGTTTAAGATCTTTATTTTAAAATATATTTCTTGATTACAGTGTATTTACAGTCTAAACAAGTAAAACACTTCAATTGACTGAATTTTCTATCTGTTGCCTATAACAAATTACTCTGGGTTTATCCTGGATGAGTCACAAAGCAAGAGTTCGGACTTTATCACTGGTTTCAGCGCTAGTTTTAGAGAGATGGGGAGACAAAAAATGTTCTTGATCTGGAGACACTGAAAATGGCTTGTGTGGCTTTCTTCAGGAAGAAAGTAACGGCTGTCAAACTTCAGGACCATGGAGGCACCCTTTAAATACACAATTATTTTGTTCAAAATGTTTTTGTTCCATATCTTATCACTCAATGCATAAAATAACACAGCCACTGACATCAATGGAATTTTATGGGAAATGAAATAACACCCTTGCCAAAATAGGCATTTTCCTTCTCCCTCAAAAAAGTTATAACTGCCCAAGTATAAATAACCAAAAGGATGTAGATTCTCTCCATGTTTTCTTGGCAAACGGATTAAGGTCTAAAAAAACACAAATTTCATGGACCATGCCTTTTTCTCCTCTAGGTTCTTTCTCAAAAAAGTGCAGAAAATAGGGGGGAAAAAAAACCCTTATGATATAATACAGTCCAAATTATAGGTAAGAAACACAAAATTCAAGTGACAAGGGAGATGAATTGGAGGTGAATTTTACTGGTGGTATCTGTAGGTGAATTTTTTTTTTTTTCACGAGCATTGTTTCATCACTTTCCGTAATGTAGGAACATTTTTAGTTGACAAGGACAGAATTTTAGGGGCTGGTATTGTGGCTGCGTGGTGGAGCACCTGCCTAGCCCATGCGAGGCACTGGGTTCCATCCTCAGCACCACATTAAAAAACATACCAATAAAGATATTGTGTCCATCTACAACTAAACAAAATTTTTTAAAAAGAAAAGAATTTTACATAACATTTGCTTTTATTTGTATCCAGGTAACACAGTTATCAAAGACTTGCTTCAAAACACATCTCAAAAGTAAGAAAACATTCAACTTCCAGGAGAAAAACCCGAAAAGAAGGCATTCTTCACAATTTCGGAGATGACAAAAGCTTCAAGTTGCCAGTGACTTCTGGTGTCCCCTGGAGGATCTGGAAATTGGACATGCTTATTTATAACACCAGCCGATTAAGGCCTGTCTTAATTGACTACTTCTGAGGGTAAACTGAAATAACTTACTTGTCAATGCTGGACACACTGATTAACCCATCCCCCAGCGCTGGCCGCTGTCTCAGTGGAAAGACTCGGGAGCATCCATAGTCCGTCCACAGCGCGC